AACAGTTAAGCATTTTACTCCAGATTGCACAGCAGGTAAGGGTCAAAGCTGGGCTACCATTTAGCATCTGTGATTCCTGAATGTATGCTTTTCCTCTCTGGACTTCCTCTGTGTCCAGAAAGATCCCATGTAGGTGCTTGCATTTGAGTGTATGTGTCAAAGGAGAAAAGTGCCTGAATATGTAAAGAAAGGAAGTAAAATAAGATGTTATTGCAAGTAAATCTTTATTTCCGTGGTTATATATAATTCCTACCTCTACTACAGAGACTTGGAGAATCTGGGACTCTGCTCTCAGAGCGTTATTTTGTCTCTCCAGAAATTTTACTTTCTTTTTTTTTTTTTTTAAAGATTTTATTTATTTATTCATGATAGTCACAGAGAGAGAGAGAGAGAGAGGCAGAGACACAGGCAGAGGGAGAAGCAGGCTCCACGCAGGGAGCCCGACGTGGGATTCGATCCCGGGTCTCCAGGATCGCGCCCTGGGCCAAAGGCAGCGCTAAACCGCTGCGCCACCCAGGGATCCCCAAATTTTACTTTCTTAATCAAGATTTTCTGGGGATCCCTGGGTGGCTCAGTGGTTTGGCGCCTGCCTTTGGCCCAGGGTGCAATCCTGGAGTCCCGGGATCGAGTCCCACGTCGGGCTCTTGGCGTGGAGCCTGCTTCTCCTTCTGCCTGTGCCTCTGCCTCTCTCTCTCTTTATGTCTATCATGAATAAATAAATAAATCTTAAAAAAAACTATCAAGATTTTCTTTTCTTTTTTAGGCATTTCAACTGATCCTATTTCTTTCTTTTCAGAACCTTCTGGAATAAACAGAACGATCAAACCAGAAGTTGCTGCTGGTGAATTCTGTGCTGGGTAGAATGGTGCTACCAGGCTCACTACTCTCTTACCTCAAACCTCGTGCTTTCAGGGTTCAGTATGACTCAGGGTGCAAACTCTGGAAGGTCTGACCTGGAATGTGACTCAGGAAATTTGACCAGTCTCCCCTGCTCATATCTGAAACTGGGAAGTTTACAAAACCGAAAAGCTTTTGTAATCAGAGAAAAGATAAATTCCCTGTAAGGAAGAAAAACACAACGTTAAATTCCATAGAAAATAGCTGAAATTGTCATTCTCTTGTGTCAGCAAAGAGGTCACATGGGACCAGAAAGACACCATGACTTTATAGCTGGACTAAACCTGTCCTTCCAGGCAGTGAACACCTAGAGGATGCCTCTGGTCATTAAAAGTTGTTTGGGGAAAAAAAGTTGAGAGCCACATAAACCAAGACCCAAATCTTTTTAGTGATTGCTCAGCACTATTCATGATCAAAGATCAAATAGACAAATGATTCTCAACCTTGGATGCACAGTAGAATCAATCACTTGTGAAGCTTAAAAAATTTAAAAATCCCTATGCCAGGACCCATACCTAGAGATTCTGATTCAAATGATCTGGGGTGATGCCCAGACATTGGTATCTTTAATATGTATCTAGGGTTGAGAAACACTGAATTTGATAAAGCAGAACTAATGTCCTATCATCTTTGTGGTGCCTAACACAGCATCTGGCATCTCATAAATGTTTATGGAACATATGTGTGAATAAATGAAGTAGTATTATCACATAAGTGACTATTAGTACTTGGGTAATACTTTATGGGTCTCAGAATACTCTTTTATATGCTTCTCTTCATTTATGTCTCATGACTCTCCTGGAAAATATTATTTTGTGATGTCCATCTTACAGATGAGGAAACTGAGGCTTAACAAGATGAGGTAATTCCCCTCCTCCCACTCCCACAAAACGAATAAACTGTTGACTTAACTCTTGTCTTCTCAGAAGTTTGATGACTTGCGATGGTTCTCCTCTATCTCCAATTGTGCCCTAGAAAGTTTGATTGTTTGCTTTGGCAAGTATGTAATCTGTTCCTTCTATCTGAACACTGGTATCTAATTTTAAACAATACTTATTATAGAAAAATTCAAACAACATAAAGAGAATAGCGTAATTAACTTTCATTTAATCATCAACCAACCTCAATAATGATCAACTCAGGGTTAGGGTGATTTCATCTATATTCTCATCCACTGCTTCTTATTTGAAACAAATCCAAGCACATATTTCAGTATGTTTCTCTAAAGACTTGAAAGCAAAATAAACTCAAAATCGTTATCATATCTAAAAAATTAATAATAATCCTTTCATACCCGATCAGTATTCACACATCTCTGTCTTTTTCTTTTCTTTCTTTCTTTCTTTCTTTCTTTCTTTCTTTCTTTCTTTCTTTCTTTCTTTCTCTTTCTTTCTTTCTTCTTTCTTTCTTTCTTTCTTTCTTTCTCTTTCTTTCTTTCTTTCTTTCTTTCTTTTCTTCCTTTCTTCTTTCCTTTTTTTTTTTCGGTTTCTTTGATCAGGGATCCAAGAAAATTCTATACATTGCAATTGCTTCATCTGGCTCTTTTAACCTGAGGGTTTCCCTTTCATCTCTTTTTGTTTTGTCTCCCTGTAATTTATTTTTGAAGAAACCAAGTCATTTGTCCTGTATTGTCCCCACCCTAGATTTTGCTTGACTATATACTCCCACTTTCATTTCACACTTTCCTCTGGACCTTCTAGCTCTTGTAATCCAGCAGATACAAGAAGTTTGATCAGATTCAGGTTGGATTTTTTTGTTTTTTTTTTCAAAACTCTTTCCTAGGTGCTAGAAGGGTTTTTGCCTGAAGGTAGCCATTTTTGAAACAAAACCAACTGTCAAGGCTAGGCAGCCAATACACATAAATTCATGGCCCAAAATTAAGGAGGGACTTGTGTGACCGTGGCTGTGGTGTGGAAGGAGCCCATTCCTAACTCCGGTGCAGGTTGAGTCCGGCCACCCCAGGATGTCCTGGCTTCATCTGTGTTCCTGCCTCCCCTTTTTTGTTCCAACCACTTGGTGCCAAAAGTTCTATGTGGATACTTCCCGGATGTCAGCATTTCCCTGAGAGCAGATTACTGTGCTATTTCTAGCTGATTGATGAGGGATCAACATTTTCTGGCAGCCACTGTTGAGATTCAGAGCATTTGCTCAGTGACACCTAGTGGCTTTATAAGCATAATTTCTTGAGGTGTAGAGGCCCCTTTTTAGTTTTTAAATATGTATTTTTATTGTAGTTTAGTTTTTAAATGTTTTCTTATTGTATTTTTTCTTTTTTTTTTAATTGTATTTTTTCAATTGCAAAACTATCCCATCAGGATTAGAAAACCTCAAAGGATATTGAGTAGTAATAGCCTTTGTGATAAGATTTGTTTCCAAATTTTAACTCACAATGTTTCTGGTTTCTGGGGCACTATGTGAATAGAAAATGAAAGTCCGGGATCCCTGGGTGGCGCCGCGGTTTGGCGCCTTCCTTTGGCCCAGAGCGCGATCCTGGAGACCCAGGATCAAGTCCCGCGTCGGGCTCCGGGTGCATGGAGCCTGCTTCCCCCTCTGCCTATGTCTTTGCCTGTGTGTGTGTGTGTGTGTATGTGTGTGTGTGTGTGTCTATCATAATTAAAAAAAAAAAAGAAAATGAAAGTCCCACATGAGCACACACTCCAGGAGTAACCACAGATAATGTTAATGGTAGAGTATGCTCTTTAATGGCTGCATGGTATTTTGTAGGGAATAGGGCGTGCATAATTTATTTACCGTATCCATTAATAGACTCTGGGGGAGATTTAAGGTTTTTTTCTATTATAAGCAATGTTTCTTTTTTTTTCTTTTTTAAGATTTATTTATTTATTCATGATAGCCAGAGAGAGAGAGGGAGAGAGAGAGGCAGAGACACAGGCAGAGGGAGAAGCAGGCTCCACACAGGGAGCCCGACGGAGGACTCGATCCCGGGACTCCAGGATCACATCCTGGGCCAAAGGCCAGTGCTAAACCGCTGAGCCACCCAGGGATCCCCATAAGCAATGTTTCCACAAACAACTTTGTGCAATTGATTTTATACTTTTAAGAGTGCTTCTGAAGATGGTCATTTAGAAGCAGAATCATTAGGTCAAAGAGAAATGAGCATTTTTCCACCAATCTGCTAAGATGTCTGAGGGTGCCTGCTTCCCCACATGCTCACATCACCACCATGTTATCACCTACGTAAAAATCTTTGTGTCATTTTTTAATCTTTCTACGTTTAAAAAAAAAGGGGGAATTTTTGTTGCCATGACGAGGTTGAGTTCAATATGATCCTTTTTTTTTTTCTGATCCTTAATCTTCTTAGAGATAGTTCATGCTGAATTTGTCAGCTGGTGGTGGATTCCAATTCAGAAACAAGGATATTTTTGGCCTTTATTAATATTCACTAACTCAAATGATATTTATGGAGTGCCTAGTATGTGCCTGGCCAGTTTATTTTTTTTTACATTTTTATTTATTTATGATAGTCACACAGGGAGAGAGAGAGAGAGGCAGAGACACAGGCAGAGGGAGAAGCAGGCTCCATGCATCGGGAACCCGACGTGGGATTTGATCCCAGGTCTCCAGGATCGCGCCCTGGGCCAAAGGCAGGCGCCAAACCGCTGCGCCACCCAGGGATCCCATGCCTGGCCAGTTTAGAGACACAGTGGTGAATAGGATATGAAACCTGCCCTGTGTTATTAAGGAGCCAGTGGAGTCTAGTGTATAAGTCAATCACTGTCTTCAGTGTGTGATTCAGGCTCTACTGGAAGGAACCCAAGGCAAGCTCGTGCTGTAGAGAAGCAATTGAGGAGGGGATTGGTCACTGGAAACCTTCGTAGAGGAGAAGGTATTTGATCCAGGTCTTGAAGAATGAGGGTAGGCCAATGGGGCACAGGCCATGTGGGATCCAGGAAACACTCTGTGAAAGATAGAGTATAATTGGGGGACTTTGGGAAGATCCAAGTGGCTAGAAAGGGTTTGAGAAGCAGCTCAGATTTGAGACTGCAGAGGTGGGCACAGGCAAGATCATAGAGTTTAGATTTTATCTGTAAGGCCAATGTTTCTTAAACATTGCACACTTTTATTTTACCTATTTTTTTTTTTAGGGGAGAGTATGAATGCAGTCCCTCATTATCACAAATTATGTAGTCCAGTTTCCCATACTAGGGGAAATTTCAGAGAAAGCACATCAGAGTGCCATGGATAAACCTTGTCCTGGGAAAACCACCTTCATGATCACGGTATCTCCCCTACCAAGTAAGTATAGATACTGTTATTTTAAAAGAAAAGATTACCTCAATACTGTAATTGAAAAACCAATATCATTTGCCACAAACATGAGATACCAGAAAAATAAATTTAGTGAAAAAGAAAGAAAAAAACCTCAAGTGAGTACATTTGAACTGTTTAAGGTAAAATGAAATATATTAGTGAATCTAATCTGTTTGCAAAAAGAAATGCATGCCTAACATCTTCTTTGGGGAGAAAAAATTAAATGGTGTATAATCAGTCAGTAATAAAGAGGTTCAGCTCCATAGCATTTAAGACTAAGATGAGAGTTATGTCAAGATAATTCTGCTTCTGTTTTTGTGTTAATTTGCCCCCAGAATCTCAACACACCTGTGTAGATATTTAGAGCTACTCCCTGCCACCTAAAGAGCTGGATTATGGGGAGTCTGGCAGATGATCTCCCAGATTCCACAGCCAAGAACTGAAGTCCAAATCTTCTTACTTCAGGTCCTCATACCAAGTGGATATTTGGCACATGAAAAACTCTTAACGCATACCTCTCTCCCAAAATGGAACTAGGCAGCCTCTAAGAGTGGTGACTTCCTGGGGCATTCCAGCAGACACCTGCCAGGAAGTGGTTTTTAGGTTGTCCTTAGTATCTAAAGTCCCTTATAATCCACAAGAGTAACCCAGAGATTCAGAACTTTCTTCCTTTGTTTTAAAACTAAAACACAGAGGGATGCCTGGGTGGCTCAGCGGTTGGGCATCTGCCTTCGACTCGGGGTGTGATCCTGGGGTTCCGGGGTCAGGTCCCACATTGGGCTCCCTGCAGGGAGCCTGCTTCTCCCTCTGCCTGTGTCTCTGCCTCTCTCTCTCTCTCTCTGTGTCTCTCATGAATAAATAAATAAAATCTTTAAAAAATTAAAATACAGATAAAAGAAGGTTTGAGTTCTACAGAAAGAAATGCTCACATTTAAAGCAGTGATTGTTAAAGATCTATGGAACAGTAACTGTATCTGCATGTGTGTTCTATGTCCAGCAGCAAGAGTAATTGTTTAATAAACCACACAAAGCCCCCCAAACACAAATTGAAGATATGTCAAAGATCTCAAAACAGGGGCGCCTGGGTGATTCAGTCGGCTAAGCATCTGCCTTCAGCTCAGGTAGGGATCTCAGGGTCCTGGGATGGAGCCCCTCATCAAGCTCTCTGCTCTGCAGAGAGACTGCTTCTCTCCCTCTCCCTCTGGCCCCCATCCCTGCTGGAGTGCTCTCTCTCTCTCACAAATAAAGTATTAAAAAAAACCCATGAATTCGCTAGTATATTTGATCTCTTAGTTACTAATTCAGGCAAGATAAACACATGGGTCATAATATCTTAGCTCTTTTCTGGATTGTACTCACCAATGGAAAGACAGACTTTTCTAGAATAGCAGAATAAGAAAAAAATGACTACAAATTTAGTGGCTTAGAACAACACAATTTATTATCAGTTTTTTGTGGGCCAGGGATCTGAACATCCCTGTATCCTCAACTCAAGGTCTCATATGCCTGCCATCAAGGTGTTGGCCATGCTGCATTTCCAACTGGAGGCTCAATTATATCTGGAAGAATCTGCTTCCAAGCTAAATCAGTTTGTCTGCAAAATTTGTTTCCTTATAGCTGGATGACTTGAGATGCTGGCTTTTTGTAGCCACCACTTGGAACCATCTGTAGATCCTACAAGCCACCCAAAGTACTTTGGCATGTGGGTTCCTTCAACATAGCCTGTTGCTTCATCAAACCAGCTAGGATAATCTTTTGCTCCAGTCTACTAGCAAAAAATTTTATATAATGAGTGTAATCACAGGATTAACACCCATAACCTTTGCCATATTCTGTTGGTTAGGAGCAAGTCACAGGTCCTGCCAGCATTTACAGAGAGCTATCACACAAAGTCATGAATACTAGCAGGCCGGAAATCATTGAGGGCAGGGGTCACTTTAGAGACTGTTTGCCACATAAGAGAAAGGTCAGGAGAACCAGGGCTTCCTCATTGTCAAACCAAACAGATAATCTAGTCCTGGAAAAACTGGAAAGAACGCTGAATGGAGCAGGAACATGGGGTCTAGCCCTGGCTGTGTCATTAACTAGATCATTTATCCAGCTAGTTCCAGGACCTCAACTTCCTTACTTTAAAAATAAAATGAAGTACGGAGACACTAATTCAAAAATGTAGATTAAAATAGCATGGACATACCATCATTTGCCTTTAGCAAAAATTACAAATGATCACACTCAGAGCTTGTGAGTTTATGAGTATGCTCAGTCCTAAAAAGCAAGTTGCCGTTAAAATATTCACACTTGTGTCAACTTGACCATGGGATTCCCAGATTTTTGGTTAAATGTTATTTCTGAGTATACCTGATGAGGTTAACATTTGAATTCATAGACTGAGTAAAGCAGATTGCCCTCCCTAATGTGGTGGCTACATCCTATTCACTGTAGACCTCGACAGAATAAAAAAGAATTCTCTCTCTTTGCATGACTTTCTTTGAGCTGAGACATCTGTCTTCTCCAGCCTTTGGATTCAGGCTCAGACTAGTACTTAAACCATTGGCCCTCCTGGTACTTAGGCCTTCAGACTTGGACTGGGACCACACCACCATCAGCTCTCCTGGGTCTCCAGATTGGTGACTGCAGGGCTTGGGATTTCTCAGCCTCCATAATCATGTGAACCAATTCCTTATAGTAAATCTTCTTATAGACTCATATGATATTCTTTGACAAAGTAATCCATTCCTGGGATTTAATTTTAAGAAAATGTATAATTCAAAAGACTTTGTAAAACAAGCTATATGCACAAAGTTATTAACTGTAGTGTTACTTATAATAATGAAAAACTAAAAACAATGCACATGTTTAACAACTGGAGAATGGCTGCATAAATTATAGTGCATCCATCTGAAAGAAAATTATGCAGCCATTAAACTAATAATCATGAGGACTATGTAGCAACACAGAAAAGTATTTATAAATTGATGTGAATTTATTTTTTAAAAAAGCAGAACATATAATTATATAAAAACTATAACAAGAAAAAGTAAATAGTGAAAAGAATCCATGTTTGTCATGGAATTGCACAATTTTTCATAACTTTCCTTTATCAATAAGACATTTTAAAAATAATAATTAAAAAGTATAAAATGAAAACAAAGAGGGGATTAAATTATCAGTGGTTCTTAACTGGGGTAGACTTGAGGATTTAAAATATTTATAGGTGGGTCTTACCCTGTGAAACTTCTGAGATGGGGATGGGGTACCTATATATTTAAATACACACATGCACACACACAAAGAGCTGATTATGATGCACACTGGTAGGCAATTTCTCAGCATAAAATTCCATAAATCTATGGAGAATAAGGGGGCTATTCCAGGGACAAGCTGAATATTGGTTATGAGGCACCATAGGTGATGGACACCAGGCTGTTCTTAGTGTTTGCTTGGTTTGCTGCAGCCACTGTTATCTGTGTTTGTGGCTTGGGGGCAGTCTGAAGTATCACCCTCTGTGGAGGATTGCTCCACAATGTGGAAAGCCTCCAGGAACTCATTGATGTCGATGTGGCCATCCCTGTTGAAGTCAATGCTCCGGGCAAGGTCACAGATGCAGTCATCTGTGATGTCAATGTTCATATGAGAGCTGAATAGCTTCCAAGTCTGCCTGAACTCATCCAGTGAGATGAACCCTTACCAGAGAGAGGAAGTTATTTCAGTGAGTCAGTCTAGTTTTCAATGTTCATTTCCTCTGACATTCTTGCAGGGACACCTGCTCCTTACTGTTGAACAAAGATACCGAAGGCCTTTTATCTAGTTTAAACTCCCAAGGGGATGGCACAAAACTAATGGATCACCAATGGTTCTCAACTGAGAACAATTCTGCTTCCTTTCCACTGGGGACATTTGTCAAGGTCTGGAGACATTTTTGATGGTCATGACTTGGTAGGGTAAATGTTACTGGTATCTAATAGGTAAATGCCAGGGAAGCTACTAAATATCCTACAATACACAGGATAGACCCCCAAACAAAGAATTATTCAGGCCAACGTGTCAATAGTGCCATTGCTGAGAAACCATAACCCATCCCAAACATATAATTTATTTTGCTTATAAAAAGCCTTTGGACCCATACATCTAAGGTCAATTGACTTTTTTTTTTTTTTTAACAAGGATTCCAAGACCATTAAATGGAGAAAGAACTGTTTTTTCAATAAATGGTAGTGGACAACTGGATATCCTCATGTAAAAGAGTGAAGCTAAATCCCCTACCTTGCACTACCAACAAAAATTGACTCAAAATGAATCAAAGACCTAATGGGAAGAGCTAAAATTGTAAAACTCTTGGAAGAAAACATAGATGTAAACTTTTGTGATCTTGGATTACGTCATGATTTTTTAGATATGACACCAAAAGCACAAATAACAAATGAAAAAGATAAATTGGACTTTTTTAATTAAAAAATTTTGTGCATCAGGGATCCCTGGGTGGCTCAGTGGTTTAGCACCTGCCTTCAGCCCAGGATGTGATCCTAGAGTCCTGGGATCAAATCCCATGTTGGGCTACCTGCATGGAGCCTGCTGCTCCCTCTGCCTTTCTCTCTCTCTCTCTCTCTCTCTCTCTCTCTCTCTCTCATGAATAAATAAATAAAATCTTTTAAAAAATTTTGCGCATCAAAGGAAACTACCAAGAAAGTGAAAAGACAATCTATAAAGTTGAAGAAATTATTTTCGTATCATATATCTGATCATGGCATGGTATCCAGAATATATAAAAACTCTCATAACAACAAAGAAATGAATAACTCAATTAAAAGATGAGTAAAGGATTTGAATAGACATTTCTCCAGAGAATACATAAAAATTCCAATAAGCACATGAAAAGATGCTCAATATCATTGCTTATTAAGGAAATGCAAATCAAAACCATGAGATACTGCATACCCAGAAGGATGGCTATAAAGGGGGCAGGTAGCAAGCGTTGGTGAGGATATGGAGAAACTGGAGCCCTCAAACCTTGTTAATGGGAATGTAAAATGGTATAGCCACCGTAGAAAACAATTTGGCAGCTCCTCAAAAAAGTAAAACATAGTTTTATGATATTATTCCGCACTTGCACTTCTAGGAATACGTCCAAGAGAATAAAAAACCATATGTTCGCATAAAAGGTTGTACACTAATGTTCACAGCGTCATTGTGAATAACAGCCAAAAAGTGCAAACAATCTAAATGTCTATCAACTGATAAATGGACAAACAAAATGTGCTATATCCATACAATGGAATATTAGCCAGCTATGAAGAGGAATAAAGAACCAATATACACTACAACATGGATGAAAACATTATGCAAAGTAAAAGAAGCCAGACACCAAAGGCCATAATATTGTATGATTCCATTTATATGAAATGTGCAATTATACTGCACAGTTATACTGCAAATCCATAGAGACAGAAAGGAGATTAATGGTTGGCAGGGGCTGGTGGAGAAGGGACAGGGATGGAGAGTGACTGCTAATGGGTGTGGGTTTCTTTTTAGGGTGATGAAATATTCTATAATTAGATAGTGGTGATGGTCACACAACCTCATGAATATACTAAGAATCAGTGAACATTTTAAATGGGTAAATTACACGGTGTGTGAATTATACCTAAAAATAGGTGGAAAGAGAGTAATAATATTGAAAAAGGCCTTTTGACCACTGGGGGAACAGGACGAGAGTATACAAGACTTCTCTGTACATTTTCTGGTAATATCCTGTGAATCTGTAATGATTCCAGAATAAGAACTTTAAAAAGAATTCTTTAGGAGTGAGATTGTTAAAAAGCCTTTCTTCTCTAGGTACATCTTCTAATAGCTGTTTTTCCTATGAGAAGTTCTCATAAGGTTTGTCTTCTTTCTTCTCTGCTCTACCCCTCTACCAGGATTGTTCATCTTGCCCAAGTACTTTTCCAGTTCTGCCATTTATAAGCATAACCATTATTTATTTTGGTCCTAAGGTGCTTGAGTAGAGAGGTAAATAACCAGGAAAGAGACTGAAAGGTGGGAGGTAAAGTTCGTACTCTGTGTCAGGAGTGATAGGATAATGAGTGTCTTTACCTGAATGATCACTATCTATGATCCTAAAAATGGCCTCTAGGTTGGATCGGTTTCGATACAATGTTTCCAGCAAACTTGACTGTATGTTCTGCAAAAGAAAAGACGTTTTCTTTCTATATCTCATGTTTAGACTTGTTCTAATATATAATTAACAATCAACCCTGACAATAAGATACTATTGAAACAGCCTGAAGATATTTTGTCACCAACCCCCTCAGCCTACTAAATAATCTAAGGGCTTAAGAAGTACCTAGTCTATGATGAAAATGTTCTAAAACTGACCCTCATAATGGTTGCACATATCTGTGAATATATGAAAAACCACTGAATTGTACAGTTTGAATGGATGAATTGTATGGTATGTGAACTATATTGAAATAAAGCTATTTTAAAAAGTACCTAGCTCAAGACCTCATATACATTACACATTCAGTAAGTATTTATTGAATAAATCCTTTTTTTTTTTTGGAGGGGTGGGGAGCAGTATGGTGCCAGGGAAATCAGACAGCCCTGAGTTTGAATCCCAGGTCTACAACTCAGAAGCTCTGTGAGCAGTGTCCTCATAGGTATAATGGTGCTGAGAATACTATACTTGTGGGGTGGGTATTTTGAAGATAAATTGAGGCAACATATGTGTCACTTAACACAAAACCTGACATATAGAAACTCAACTCAACTCAAATAGTTCCATTTTCTCGTCCATCTTCTTTTTTGGGTTCTCAATATTTGTTCCTGATTCAAAGTTATCCATAGGGAGATTCATGGTCCACGATATGCCTTCATCCACCAATTTCTCACCATTACCTCACGGCTCAGTTGTTCTTTGGCCAAGTCCTCCAGCCAGGACTTGTACTCCAATGTGTTATCTGTTGAACTGTTCACCAGCTGAGGCCTCAGCATGAGCCATGGCAGTCCTAGATGCAGCACAGACTCCACAGCTTCTGCCCAGGCACTAAGAGTGATTAAACCTACAGGAAAGAGAAAGTTTGTTGACCTGTCACCTATAGGTTTAGTGTCCTGCCCAATAGTGCAGACATTTTTATCCTGGCATACTTCTTGCTCTCTGTAGGTAATAAAAATAATGGGCACTGTCACTATATTTGTTAGTCAAGGTAGACTTTGCTGGAAACCAGGATTGCAAGATAAAATACAGGATGCCCAATTAAATTGTTACTGCTGCTTTCTAATAGGGCTATATGTGGTCAATGTCTATTAGACATTCCATTGAGTTGAGCAAAGACAGCATTTCTAGCTTTGATAATAGAACACAGAATATACACATTAAACAAGAAGCCAAATCACTAATCTTTTACTAATCTTGGAAAATTTCTTGCAACCTCCCCCACCTATTGCTTTTTGCTTAGTTCTGGCCTTGTCACCCTCCTTTTGACTCCATTTCTTTTTACCATCTCCCCATATATATTTTTGCTAAATTCATATTATGTTAAAAGCTTGTAATTTTAAAATTTAGAAAAGATAACTGGAACATTAAATTGAATACAATAAAGAAAGAAGTCAACGGTGTCCTTTGGCCATTAGTTCAACAAATATTGATTTGATAACTTCTGCAACACAGATTTTTTTTTTTTTTGGCCAGCTTTCTTCTAGGAATATTTTACTTCCTTGGTCTCACCAGTTTTATCTGCATCATGCTTCTTAAATTCACCAAGAAGATCCAAAGAAGAAGCAAATAACTTTTCCCGCAGAGATCTCAGAGCTGACTCCTCTACTCTGCTAATCCTGGGACAGGAGATGAAAAAATTTAAAAAGTTAACATAGAGAAAATAGGCATGGATTTGTTTTTCTTACCATACTTCTCTCTTTCCTAATGCCTCAGCCTCCCTGGAGCTCAGTTTGGGAAGGAGGGAAAGGGCTCAGTTTTTGAAGGAAGAGCTCCATCTCTTATTTCTCCCCTTGGCATTTCCACTTCTCCCTGCTGGGCACAAACAGGACCTGCTGCTCTCCATCATAGTGCAGGACAGTGGTTACAGCAAAAGATCTGGAGAGAGACCACCTTTGTAGTAAAGTTATCTTACTGTACTGCACCTCAATTTCCCCATCTACAAAAGAGGGATAAAAATGGTACCTACAAAAGAAAGAAAGAAAGAAAGAAAGAAAGAAAGAAAGAAAGAAAGAAAGAAAGAAAGAAAAGAGAAAGAAAGAAAAGAAAGAAAGAAAAGAAAAGAAAAGAAAAGAAAAGAAAAGAAAAGAAAAGAAAAGAAAAAGAAAAATGGTACTTACCTCATAGGATTATTGTAAAGATTAAAAAAGTAAATTCATATAAAGTACTTAGAAGAAACCGCAGCACCTGGAAAGCACTCAGTAAATGGTCTCTGTTATCATACTCATATGCTTTCCTTGTAATTTATTACGTTAAATAGGCACAAGACAAGAGTATGAATAATAAAGTAGCTCTAATTTAATTTTCTCATTCTTACTGGATCAAAAGAGTAATGCCGGGAACAGGCACTAGATCCAAAGTAAGTGTTCAGGAAATATGTATAGTTGAATTAATAAAAAGATAAAAAGAGAGAAAGGTAAAGAAAAAAAGAGATAAAGGTAAATATATACTTTGTCTTGCCTCACTGAAGAGCCAGCCATTCTATAAATGAGGACCAGATAACCTATGTTTTCAAGTGCCAACAGTTACACATGTGTGTGTGCGCACACACACAGTTTTAATCATGTTTGATGAAAATCTTCCTTGCAATTTAAATAAATACATACATACATACATACATAAATAAGGCAGCCCCGGTGGCGCAGTGGTTTAGCACTGTCTGCAGCCCAGGGCCTGATCCTGGAGACCCGGGATCAAGTCCCACATCGGGCTCCCTGCACGGAGCCTGCTTCTCCCTCTGCCTGTGTCTCTGCCTCTCTCTCTCTCTCTCTCTGTGTGTGTGTCTCTCATGAATAAATAAATAAAATCTTAAAAAAATTTAAAAAAAATCTTAAAAAAAAAAGAAGTATGGGACTCCCTCTCCTCCCCCCAAAAGTTTATAAACCATTGGTCTGGCAAAACATTCAAACTGTCTTCTGTCAAATTGCAGTCCTCCATCATTATCACGACGGGATATAGTATGGTGACACTCTTGGGAGCTGGCTAGATGTACGAGGCTCTCTGTTTCTACGGCAAGCAGCAAATAGTGAACATTAACTAAATGCAGAGTTCTGCGTGGATTGTTTCTTTCCTCCAACACCCACTGAGGAAGGTCTGATTACTATGCCCATTACAAAGTAACTAATCCAAGGTCACATAGCTAGTAACAGGTGGCGCCAGCAATCAATCTTAACAGGTGGACTCCAGGCAGGCTAAACTATTACTGTGAGGCATTGATGTGAACCAAAAGTGAATGGATGCTGAATGAGAGCTCTTTGAAGAAAAACACAAGATTTTGAGTTTACGGCATTGAACCATCAATAACAATAGTCAGAGACATTTCCCCCTTACTTCTAAGTTCTCCACTGCACTCCAGGAAGTTGAAGTTGTTGGACGAGTGACTTCTAGGTGAATTAGGTGATGTTTCCTTGCTTTAATACAGTTGATGAAGATTTCAAAGAGCTCTTTAATTATGTTATTAAAACATATGCTCTATAGGATTCCCTACAGTGACTTCTTTTGCAGTGACAACACCTAAATCCTATGGAATCAGCCATTCCAATTCCCTGGGGCCTACCCCTGGAGATCCTACTTTGGTGGGGCTGTGATGAGGGTAGGGCAGCTGAGTTTTTGTAAAGCTCCCCTGATGATGTGCCTGCACAGTAGGTTTGACTATCACTTAATGAGTTCAAATTTTCATATGAAACTTCTTGAGTGATGCTGGCCTTGATTTTTTAATAACTTGAGTGTTTAATAACTCTTGATTTTTTCACTTTATTAATTTAAATTCAATTTGGCAACATATAGTATAACACCCAGTGCTCATCCTATCCAGTGCCCTCCTCAGTGCCCATCACCCAGTTACCCCAACCCCCCACTCACCTCCCCTTCCACTACCCCTTGTTCGTTTTCCAGAGTTAGGAGTCTCCCATGGTTTGTCACCCTCTCTAATTTTTCCCATTCAGTTCCCCTCCTATCCCCTATAATCCCTCTCACTATTTATTATATTCCCTGTATAAGTGAAACCATATGATTGTCCTTCTCCGATTGACGTACTTCACTCAGCATAATACCCTCCAGTTCCATCCACGTTGAAGCAAATGGTGGGTATTTGTCGTTTCTAATGGCTGAGTAATATTCCACTGTATACATACACCACATCTTCTTTATCCATTCATCTTTCGATGGGCACCGAGGCTCCTTCCACAGCTTGGCTATTGTGGACATTGCTGCTAGAAACATCGGGGTGCAGGTGTCCTGGCATTTCACTGCATTTGTATCTTTGGGGTAAATCCCCAGCAGTGCAGTTGCTGGGTCGTAGGGCAGGTCTATTTTTAACTCTTTGAGGAACCTCCACACAGTTTTCCAGAGTGGCTGCACCAGTTCACATTCCCACCAACAGTGTAAGAGGGTTCCCCTTTCTCCGCATCCTCTCCAACATTTGTGGTTTCTCGTCTTGTTAATTTTCCCCATTCTCACTGGTGTGAGGTGGTCTCTCATTGTGGTTTTGATTTGCATTTCCCTGATGGCAGGTGATGCGGAGTGTTTTCTCATGTGCTTGTTGGCCATGCGTAGGTCTTCTTTTGTGAAATTTCTGTTCATGTTTTTTGCCCATTTCATGACTGGATTGTTTGTTTCTTTGCTGTTGAGTTTAGTAAGTTCTTTATAGATTTTGGATACTAGCCTTTATCTGATGTGTCATTTGCAAATGTCTTCTCCCATTCTGTAGGTTGTCTTCGAGTTTTGTTGACTGTTTCTTTTGCTTTGCAGAAGCTTTTTATCTTTATTAAGTCCCAATAATTCATTTTTGCTTTTGTTTCCCTTGCCTTCATAGGTGTATCTTGCAAGAAGTTGCTGTGGCCAAGTTCAAAAAGGGTGTCGCCTGGGTTCTCCTCCAGGATTTTGATGGATTCTTGTCTCACATTTAGATCTTTCATCCGTTTTGAGTTTTGAGTATCCAGGCACCCCTACTCTTATTGTGTCTCTGGGAATCTTGAGGCTTCAATGCCCCCCCCCCTCCGCAATTCTGCCCTATTTCCCTGCTAAACACTTTTCAGCCAGGGAACACTCAGATGTGGATTTTTAAAGTTCCCACTTGTCCAGGGCTGGGCTTTCCTGCCACAGAGGCTTTCATGGCTCTGCTTTCACCCAGCTTGTCATGGTTCCCCTCCCCACTTTATTCATTAAAAAAAATTTTTTTCTGCCTTCCTACCTTGTTAGAAGCGAAACCCTTCTCTTTTAGCTTTCCGGCTGTTTTCTCTTTACATCTCAGGTCGAATTCGTAGGTGTTCAGGATGATTTGAAAGTTATCTAGGTAAGTTTGTGGGACCAGGTGAGTTGAGGACCCTACTTTTCTGCCATCTTGCCTCCCAACCTAACTCTTGATATTTAATAACTCGAGTGATTTAAAATAATGCACTTTCATAGCACTCACACAAAGCAGATGTTAAACATTAAAGTGTTCTCTTCAACTGGGTTTATGTTAACTTTGTTTTGATTTCTAATTAGTTCACTTGATAATTAAAGAAGCTTGTTCAGTAGCACTAACACTGTATCTGTTAGCAGCTTATATACTCTGGGACCATCTTCTTGGTGGGAAGCAGTACTGCACATCTGTTATGTGTGTGATTTCTGAAATAAGACTGCCTGGGTTAAGGCTTACCTTCATTGTGTATTAGCTGTATGAGAATGAGCCAGCTGATTTAACCTCTGTTCCTTACTGATCTCCTCCATAAAAGTGAAATTCATATGTATTTTATAAGTTCATTGTGAGACATACATATAAATTCTTTATAATAGCACTTAGTGGGTGGTGAGTCCTCAACCAAGGTTAGAACTTAGAATCATCCCAACAGAAGCCATTTAAGTACTATTATATGCTTCCTTCCTGGGAAGAAGACGGCCAGCAAATGTGTGGACTGAAACCCATCTGTCAAATGCCTAGAAAGGAAAAAACCTTTGTCTGTGGCTTATAGGGTAACACAAGCCCTTTAAGGAAGGGAGAAAACAGAAGAGTGACCCTGGAAAGACTTAGTGGCCTGGTATATGGACTTTACCCAAGACACATCCATTGAAAATAACTTCTGCAGGAAGCAAATTTGTTGCTTTCATTAATGACGCAAAGGTACAGGTCTTAAAGTATATGGAGGACAAGGAAGAGGCCCTTGCTATGTCTATGTGGACCTCACTGCTGACATAGCTAAATTTTGTTGTTGTCGTCACTGTTGTTGTTATAGGTAGGCTCCATGCCCAATGTGGAGCCCAGTGTAGGGTCTGAACTCACAACTCTGAAAGCAAGACCTGAGCTGAGATCAAGAGTGGGGTGCTTACCCAGTTGAGCCACCCAGGTGCCCCATATATTTTGAATTCTCACTTAGAATTTGGATAAATATCATGATGCTTGACGTTTCTACAAGCACCATAATTCTGTTTTTCTGAAAATCATTCATTAAAAAGTCTTGCCTTTGCCTCATAGTCAGCCTGTGGGTCTCCTTATTAGCTTGATACTGCACGACGTATGGGGTCAGGGCCGGTCCCAGTTTGACATAGGCCCCTCTGTTACTGCCAACTTCATAGTAGTTGGAGGCAGAAAAGATTGTTAACACCTAAATCAAAACAGAGAGAGAGAAAAAAAAAAAAAACAGAGAGAGAAAGGCATTCAGGTTCACTGAAAAACTTTTCACCATCAATCTGATAGGGCCCAACCCAATTTCAGGCATTGCTCAATTTCAGAGGCTATTCCTTGGCCTCACCTATGGATTGATTGATTGATTTATAAGATTTTCTTTATTTATTCACAAGAGACACAGAGATAGACGCAGAGACATAGGCACAGGGAGGAGAAGCAGGCTCCAGGCAGGGAGCCCGATGTAGGACTTGATCCCAGGACCCAGAATCACGCCCTGAGCCAAAGGCAGGTACTCAACCACTGAGCCACCCAGATGTCCCAGATCTTTTCAATTTTTTAAAGTCATCAGTTCTAGTAAGGCAGGAGCTCAAGTAATAACAGCTTGAATTCTGATGGGACATCCACAACATGCTTTCTTCATAGTTTCATCTCAAGTACAATAGTAGGGGTCAGAGAAAACATTTCATTTGGATCAACTGAGAGGCAAGCAGGATCCAATAACTTGGGAAGGCCATTACAATTGGCAAGCCGGGAAAGCCCAGGTGGCTCAGGGTTTAGCGCCATCTTGTGCCTGATCCCACATCGGGCTCCCTGCATGGGGCCTGTTTCTCCTTCTGCCTGTGTCTCTGACTCTTTGTCTCTCTGTGTCTCTCATGAATAAATAAATAAAAATCTTAAAAAGAAAAAAAAAAACAAACAATTGGCAAACCAGTAATCAGAGCTGGTATGAGGCCTCAAAGCAGTTTCCCATGGAATACTCTGCCTCCTACGAAGCCCTGTGAAGGTTTCCATTGTTAGTACATTGGGAAATGGTAGACACTGCATCTCTTCTTGGAGATTTATAAGGGATATAGGAAACTAAAAGTTCTCAGAAGTCCCACAGTAGAGAAACTTGAATTAACCAAACACTTCTTAGATTAGTTCATCTCACTTTTTCCCCCCACTGGAAACCTGTTATTCTCCTGTAGAGTTGGTTTCCGCGGGACCACTCTCATCCTAGTGGCACTGGGCTAGGCAAACATTGTAGGATTAAGATGCCCAAAGATCAGTTAGGATATTAAATATGTTCCTGAGATGACAAACAATCCTGAATCCCTGTCTGGGGCACAGTGCAGAAATCCTGTCACCCTGCAGTGTTGTTTGAAACATGTGGCAGCAAGCAATGTGACTTAAAGAATGGAGATGCGGCTGGGAAAACACTAAGCCATGTATTTCTGTCCGCGAGATGGGACAGTATCTGCCTTTTTGTTCTCTCAGGGTACATGCTGTGTGGTGGCAGCAATCAAATTCTGAGGTTTAAAGAGGCTATGAAAGTCAAGGAGAAGCGACTGTAAAGGACGGAGCCACCTGGAGAGAGTGGGTGGCACACACAAGCCACGGCTGGCCGTGGGCAACCAAGAGCCTGCGCTTGTCCCGCCCTGGGGGTGACGTGGACCGCTCCCGGGCACCACAGACACGGTGCCCACCTTGCGCCTGTGGCAGAACTCGTAGCCTTCAGGCTTGCACTCGTGGGAGCGGATCAGGAACTGCAGGTTGTATTTCTGTAGCAACTGTTCTGTTACATTAGGTCCAAAATAACAGCCTCCTCCTCGAACGGTATTGGCTTTGCAGCCCTCCTGGGCCATGGGATCGCTCCACAGTATATCGACCACCTGGAAAGGCCAAGAGATGGTTTCTTTCCTAAACTCTAGAGAGAGATTCAGAGTCATTCCTATGAAAAGCGGAGCAGTAAAAGGCAGAGGAGGAGAGGAAGAAGAAGAGGCTACAAATATTTGGATGGAAATAAGTGAATCGTTTTCCCTGTGATCAATATTTGATAGATGCTCATATTTGAACCTCTGGGGTTCCAGAACTTTCTCTTACTCACAGGAGGAGCATGTGTATGCGCATATTGTTTGACAAGCCACTTTCTAGGAAATAAATCAGATGTGAAGGCTCCACATATAAACCAGATAAAAAGGGAGCTGCTTTGGTAGGAGCATTGATCAGAGCCAGTAATCTTCAGTTAGCCCAATTCTCTGGGCTCCTGGAAAGAAGGCAGAAGTCCTGGGACTGGCAATGTGATCTCTCATGCAGCATTCACAAGGCCCAGGTGTAGTCCTGGGAAGGTGCAATCAAATGCTTAATCTCTTAAAGTAATTTCAGCATTTTAAAAAGAATTTGCAGAAGAGCTGAATAATTTTTCTAGCAATTCAGGTTCTACCCTTTGGTTACTACTCAGGAAACACTGATGGCTAATCTTATACACAACTTACATGAAATATTTGGGTGTATTTTGGTTGTTGACACCCAGTACTTTCTAAATGTACTTTTAAGGGGGAAAAATGCATTTGACTTGTAAACATCAGAACATTATTAATGAGTCACATTTTGCAAAAGGAGAGACTTGCATTTATTTTAGAATTTCCATTTTCAGTTGATGTTGGAGCCCAAATCGACAGACAGCTCAGCGAGAATGTAATGTAAACTCACCATCTAGCTTCTGAGGTTTCCAGCCTCGGGGTCAGCTGTGACTCCTCTTTCTCACCACCCTCCATCCAATTAATCCGCAAGTTCTGCCAATTTTAGCTCTTACATAATTCTGAATTCTCTCCTTTCTTTATTGGATGAACCATAAAAAAAACTGCCATTCTTACAGGTGACAAATGGTTGAATACCAACAAGTTCACTTAGTGCCACTAACACCCCTGGCACACGTTTCCCACATGGATCTCCCATGTGGATTACAAATCCTACCACCCCAGTCTTGCCTGGGTGAAATGTGCCCTCCATTTGGCAGCCAGGGGCATATTTAGGTGAACACTGGGCGTGCCTCCTCTGAATTCATTCTCCTTTTTCCTTCTTGGGAAGAGAACTCTGATGAGGTGTTTGGGGTGGCAGCATGCCTAGCTAAACACTTGCTTTCCCAGTCTCCCTTACAGCGAAGGGTGACTATGCGACACAGTTCTGAAGATTCTGGAGAAGCCTTTGGTTGCCTGAGAACAGAGGTCCCAGAAGCTGCTGACCTAACCCCCTGGACCTTGAACTACAGGAGCCATCTTTCTGATACATTAAAAACAAAACATCAGGTAATAGCATCCAGTAACTCACGGCTTACCTTCCTACCCAATGAGGCTAGGTCACTAAGTGGGTGATTGCCCACCTGCCACAGCTTCCCATCCTCTGTAAAACTCTAAAATATTTGAGTTCTTAGGCAAATACTAACTAATATCCTTCTGGGGTGTTCTAGCCCCAGGGGGAGAGGTGGGAAAATACCCCGAATTTACAGAGGGAAGAGATTCCCTTTGGTTCTCAAAATCCTCTCCGGAAGACAGCCACATGGCAGGGAGCAGCACGTGGCCGCAACTCACCTGCTTCCACTCCTCCTGCGTGGCCTGCAGGGGCTCCTCGGCCTCTGGGCCTGCTTCTGGCGTGAAGAGCGGGGGCGCCCCTCCGGCCCGGCTCTTGGGGAGGCCTGCCTGCTGCCGGCACCCCCCAGCCCCAGGTCCGCAGAGCTCCCTCCGCGTGGGGCCAGCTCGAGGGGCTCGACCGGACGGCTGCAGGGGATGCTGGAGGAGCGGCTGGTTCGGTGCCGCCCGGGGGAGCCCAGGTGGAGGGGCCAAGTGGGCAGAGAGCAGCTCTGGGGCAGAAGCCACGGGGCGGGTCTCTCTGCGTGGCTTGTCGGGGCGGCCTTCTCTTTCGCAGGCTGCTTCCCCTTCTGCTTTCTCGTTTTGCGCCACAGGGTGGAAACGATCTAAAAACGTCCGGAGAAGATACAGATGCTGGGCTGACACCGGAGTTGGTTTCCTGAGTAGCCCCTCCAAGGCGAGCACCTGGGCTCCGGAGGATGCCTCTGGAAACCGTCAGAGCAGATTGGTAATTGCTGTGATATTCAAGGACATGATCTGTGGGCTTACAGTTTTTGGTTTGCATTTCATTTTTTTTCTAGTACTTCATATATATTGTATTTTTTACAAAAGTACTGATCTGTGACAAACTGGAAATTTATAAAACCTGATCTTCCACCACAGATAATTCGAGAGATACTAAGCTAGGCCGCTGTTTCCTCTAGGAATCTGGTGAGTTTTAGACAAGGACGGGAAAGGGAACCTCTCGGGAAGGTAAGTCTGTATGGACTTTCCTGCTATACAACCAGGTGTTAAAACAAAGGAGAAGAAATGCAGCTTGCAGTTGAAAAATGTTGGGATAGGAAACACCTGATGCTTTGCTGTGGGAGAGGCAGCACTTTGTGGCATCTTATAGGAAGTGCTATCTTACCTGTTGAGGAAGGCAGGGAGTGGAAGGGAGCACCTCTTTTCAGCCTGGATCTAATTGGAAAGAGACTCTTTTTGCCAAAGAGACTGAGTATGGTCCCTGTCACTGACTCAGAGTCATCATGGTACTGGGACCCGGCTGACAGTGTAGTCACAAGCTGGAAGAATTCTGATCATGGGAAAGAGAGAAAATAAGGCCACAGAGCAGAGCTGTGGCATCCAGCAACCATTCCTGGTGTGCCTGAGTGCCACAGTGGAAACCGAGGGACACATTGTCAGGCTACCAATGACAGAGGTCTGGCTCACAATGGGAACTCAGTGCAAACACGTAATCAAAGAATGAGAACTTTCTGCAAATAGATGTAAGGACTGTGATCCAAGAAAGCCATGTCCTCGTGTGGACTAGCCTAGGGCAAGGACAAAGGACACTCAGAGAGGGTCAGCAGAACCTGAATGATGTTTTAAGAGGAATCCAGATTGAATATAACAGAACAGAGGTGTTCTCTAACTTTGGACAAGCACTAATGACTTCCTAGGCGGCTTAGCCCTGGGCATAGAGAGTAAAAGGCCATCAAATGTGAATGGAGTCATAACCACCTCCTTCTCTCCTTGCTGCAACTCAGATTGAGTGTCAGACTATCAGTCCCACCCCTTTCCACCCTCTGGTAACTTTATTTCAAGGATGTTATTTATCTGCCCCCAAAAGGCATCTCTAATTTTGATTTTTAAGGAGAATGACAGTGTTACTATGTTTTGAGCCCTTTCTAAATAGTGCTATGCTGGGCACTTAGCATGAATTCATTGATTGACCCTCAGGTCACCGCTATAAGACTGCATCCTCATTTATGGTTTTACATGAATTCATTGATTAGTGCTCACACCCCTGTGAGATAGCATCCTCACTTATAGTACAGACGAGACACCTGAGACATAGAGATACTAAAACGACTGTATCCAGATATCTGACTCCAGAGCTCCTACTTTTGTGTTTCTCTCCCAAATGATCCCTGGACTCTGTACAGATGGCTACATCTCCCCTCCCCAGAGCTTTGCAAACCAACTATTGGGAGGTTGGCTTTTTGCTAAGCTACAGAAAATAAACTGTTCTTTAGCATTCTTTCCCAAAGTTCCTACTTCTCCTGTATACATGAAATGTGATTCCTCCCATGAGATCATCTGCTTTATTGTGACTTGTTGTCTCTACCTCCAGACATAGATGCAGCAGAACAGAATATTTGAATTAAAAAAAAAAGTGAGGTGCTGGACATTGTGCAGAATTGACAAAGGAAATACTTAGAGCTAGTTTTAGGTCCCTTGAGCCCCTCCTCCTCTGTTAAGAACATGAAAGGGTTGAGATTATGGAAAAGCAGAGAGGGAATTTATAATGAAGATTTTTGAAGGAAGCTGTTGAAAATGTTGCAGGTGCCCCCTCTCCCACCTCTGCCAAGGGGTTACCCTTTTCCCCTTCCAACACTCAGTTTGTGGGTACAGGGACACATAACTGGTCTTTCAGTCGCCAGAACACAAGGGGCCATAGCCAGACCTTGATAGGTAGGATTTGAATCCAGAAACCTTGGACTGTATGCAATTATTGGATGAGACCTGAGTGCTGACTCCATTGAGGAGGGATGGGCATGGCTCGCTATGTGGAAACCAGGATGCATGGAAATTTGGGGAGTAACAAAAACAGATCAAGACAGAATGTGGCATCTATCTACACTTCTATCTAACATCTATCTACACTTCTTCCTTAGAAATAGAAACCCAGATTCTTATAGATACCACCTGGAATTAAGAATACACTCTCCAACCTGCCTTTCAGCCTAAATGTTAACAAATGATAAAATTTTGAACAGAAACATGAACAAAAGCTTTGTGTACAACTGAATGTCCTTAAAGGGAAGAAACATGCCTTTCTTCTACTTTCTAATTTATGCTGCTAGAATGTGGTCATGATGGCTGCAACCCAAGTAGCCATGCTGGGCCATGATGCAGCCTGGGGGAGCAACAAGACAGCAGGAAACTGGGTCCCTGGTGACTTTGTGGTGTTACCCTACCAGCCCTGGACTGCTTGCTTCCTGTGTTTATTTACAGAAGGAAGGAATAATCATAAACCATTGTTATTGAAGTTTTCTGTCACTTCAGCCAAATGCAGTTAATATGATTTCTACTTGTTGAATACAAATTTTGTAAAGCATGTGCATATGTATTTTCATTTAATCCTCACAACACCTAGGATATAGTCATTCATATTCCTATTGTATAGATTCAGAAGCTGATGTTATAATAAATTACTTTTTCAAGGCAATATTCTATAAGTAGCAGAAACAGAATTTTTATCCATTTCTTTCCAACTTCATAGGCCATGGCATAATCACTCACCATAGCTACTCAAGGAAAAAAGAGCATATTTCTATTCAATACCTGTGTGGCAGACCACCACTCCTCCAAATCTATTTTCCCCTTCTTCGTCATAGGAATGGGAACCCCAACTCTTGTGCTAGGCCTGCAGCCAACCAGAAAGAAGGCTGCATTTCCAGCCTCACTTATAGCAAGGTGTAATTCTGAACAACAGGATGAGAACAGAAGAGATGTATACAACTTCTTCACTGTGTCTTTAAAGGGCAGGAATATTCTTCCCCCCTTCCTTCCTCTATCCTACTGCTTGGAACACAGATGTGGTGGGGTGGCAAGCCATCTTGGCCTACACAGATGAGGGCATGGGAAACACACCCCAAGGATGGCAGCATAAGAAGACTTGGTTCTTGGATAACCTAGTAAAACAAAGCTGCCATACTAGCCAAGTACTCCATGTTCTAAGATTCAAACCCAGATCTGTCTGATTCTAAAGCCATATTCTTTCATTTGTGTCTCATATAACACAGACTTACATGAATTAGAGTTGCTCAAAGCACACAGGCTTGTGTAGTAATGAGTTCTCTATCTTTGGAACTGCTCAGATGAATGTTTTCAAGGATGTTGTAGTAGGGATTCCTGTGTTTTGGAAGGGGCAGCTGGAGTACAGAAGCCTTAGGACACCGTTCAAGTACAAGAGTTTGTGATTAAAAGAAAATAGAATCTTTTTTTCCTAAAGCTTTACTTCCAAAGTGAAACAAAATAGAGACGTGTTAATACTGGAGTATAATGCATTCTGTGTCACTCACTCCTCCTGCTGGTTATTGTAAATCCCCTTAGGGAGGCACCATCTCTGGTTATCTCTGTATCCCCCCTACCATTTTCCTTGCACATAGTAAGCACTTTAAACATAGTTGTTGAGTTTAATTCTAAATTGATCTTCATCCTTCTATCTGCCAATAGCATCCTCCCTCCATGAAGTAGGTACTCAATAAACATTTGTTAGTTTAACCGAGTTATTTGAGAAATAGAGGCTCTTCAGGTACAGTGATTGAGGAGTATTTACTAGAATTGTCCAGATCAGGGACAGCAAATAGATGGCTCTCACTGTCACTCCCCACTATCACATCCAGAACAAACACCATTAATGGATCACAGCACGTTTGTGCCTTGTGCTTGGACGTGGATTCTTAATCTTTCTCCTTTTAATGGTTTAATGGCTTCTCTTAACAGCCCGTATTAGTCACCTGGAGTCAGTGTGCAAGATGATATTTTATGCTGCCAGTGAAACTGGGTTAAATTATTATGAACTGGATTAACTGGGTTAAATTATAGTGAAATATATACCACTTCAGTAGTCAGTACCTTGTGCCTGTCTAGTTTAGCCAAAAGCTCCAGGTCAGTCATGTCTGACACTCCGCCATGAAGAATCAGGACTTTCTCATCAACCAGAGTAGCCAGAGGAAGCCAACAGAAAACATCCTGCAGTATTTTTAGTATTTTCTTGCCATGTGTCTAGAAAATGATAGTTAGAAGATAGTAAGTTTCAAATGACACTACTAGACTCATCTGAACTAAGAGAAACTTTTGCTTTTAAAGGCAGCATACCTTATATTTATGCATCACTTCCTTGGTAAAGCCATATCTAGATTTAAAAGGAAAAATAGATATTAAATTTGGTGACATTATGGTATAATTGAATTCTTATAAAAATTCATATTCTATGTACATATACTTAAATATATGGAAGAGACTGAGGTATAATACTTACCAAAATGTTTACAATCATAGCATTCTGTTTGGTTCAAGAAATTATAGGATATTTTGATTTTCTTCCTTTTGCTTATCTGTATTTCTTACCTTTTGTATAGTGAGCCTTTATTGTTTAGATGATAAAGAGTATGGATATGTGAAAAAAAATTAATGTTTTATTAGGAGTAGGATAATGTGTAAATTTTAAAGAAATATTTTAAATGTCATATATTGCATATTCTTTTATAAAACTGGAAAACTACTTTTAAAAGGCATTTAACAAATAAGAAGCTCTGATGAAATAACTTTTTACAATGACAAGTAAATATCAAATACCCAAGCATGTTTTAGTTTGTTACCGTAAGTTCACCATATGGTCCTCACGGTTTCCTCGGTTAAGATGGAACTCTTTTGGGTAAACCAACATGAAGGCAAAAGAATCATCAGGATCTCTACTGATTCCTTGCCTCGATCCACAAAGTCACCATTGAAGACATAGGCCCTCTCTGGTGATGGAAGGCCATTCTTCCCAACAAGAAGACAAGTCAAGAAGAGGAAACAAAGGAAGGGAATAGGAAATTGGGTCAAACCAATGTGCATTTGACAGTTACATCAGATCATACATGAATTCTGTACTTTCTGGCTCTCCTCCAAATGTGAATTGTCAACAAAATATGGAAGTATTTTTTATTGGTCTTATATTTCCTTTCTAGTCAGGCTGAGGTTATGACATGCTCATCAAAATAAGGACTTTATACAAAGCCAGAGTCTTGCCATGTGGCAGGTACAAAGGACACTGAACTTATGATCCAACAGCCAGTTTTAAGTCCTGGCCAAAATATCTACTTTAAAAAAAAAAGATTTATTCATTTGTTTGAGAGAGAGAGAGAGACAGCCCAACATAGGGCTCAATTCCATGATTCAGATATCATGACCTGAGCCAAAATCAAGAGTGGGATGCTTAACCAACTGAGTCATCGAGGCACCCTTGGCCACAATATCTTTAGTAATAGCAAAGCAGCTGTCAGATTCCTCTGAATTAAATAAGACAAATGAGAAAATGCTTTGGGAAGCACAGTATATATAAAGTAATATTACATTAATAGAACATTCATGTATGTTGTTATATGCTCTACATTTTATAACTAGAAATGGATAGGAAAATAGCTTTTGGGCACTTTGCTAATCATCAATTTTCTTTATTTGGAAAAAAGAAAAGTACTAAATAATGATTCTTTGTCTTTATTTTAAAATAGTTTACAATAAATAAATAAATAAATAAATAAATAAACAGTTTACAAAAATATACTAAAATGTAATGCAGTGCTGGCTATATTATGTACTTGCTACAAGGTATTATTTAAACTTTAAAATAATATTTTAAAAATCCAAGCATACTTAAGCATTTGTTTATAGATTCTATATTTGAACTTCCAGAATAAGTCTCAGAGCAAGACGGGATCTTAAGCACTCATACCTTATGAAATATAAATATTAAGTCATCCAACTGGCCGTGCAAGTCACCTAACAGAGACAGAAAAAGAATGTCAGTTTCTATTGGTTCTTGCCACTGTGTCTCATCTTTACTATGAAAAGGAAAAGACCCAGAAAAATCTGACAAAGTGATGGTTACTCATTTTTCCATATGTAAGAGAGGGATAAATATTAATTTCCCTTGTTGCAGAGATAGTTAATATTGAAAGCAGGAAATACGATCTTTTTCTACAAGATTATCATGAATAGTAAATGAAGTAAAGAACAGGACAGAATACTGCAGGGTTGCCAACTCAAATGGGAGCTGGAGTGATTCTGCTCTATCCACGGCAGGAAGACGATATTCACATGTGGGCCAGTGTTCTGAGATTTTTCAAGAGATGTTGGAAATCTGGATTTTAATATGAAATCCTCTGATTTTCAAAAACTGGAAATTAATTTGAAAAATTTAAGAACATTTCAGGGCAAATAAGACCTATCTGCAGGTTGCAAGCAGTCCTCAGGTGCCAGTTTATTTACAATCCCGGGTGTATTGCAGGCTGTATCCCCTAAGATGTGGGACATCAGTCTGTAATAGATGTTTAAATGTCTCTGAAAACGTAAGGATATGGAAAGAATCATGACTGACAGGATTTCTCTCTGGGAAAAGACTATATGTGGGTGGAAGGAAGAGTTTGCTAGGGCTTGCTCAAGTAACAAGAAATAAGCTGTCTTCTGACAAGGGAGATCTGGCTAATTGGGATTTTGTTTTGAATGGAGAGCGTGAGTTAGGGGCCAAACGTGAATTGCTTGGGGAAATAAGGCAGAAGCTGGGCCCTCTTGGCCCATAGCCCTTCGTTGCACTGCAGCTGCCTCAGTAAACGTGGAGTGAATCCGTGAGCACTCTCAGGGTGCATGCATCTCCCACCAGCCTGCCTCTCCTCTTCCCCATCACAGGGGCTTTCTTGTTTGTGTCTAGCATATGAAGCCATTCTGTCCGGTGCTTACCACACACTGTGATCTCCTCGCTGTAACAGGTGGAGACCCGGTTGATGTTTGGCAGTTGTACCAGGTGTTTCCGGGTTTCATGCAAAAGATTCAAGACATAGCGAGCATGGAGCTGCTATTAGGAGGAAGCAGAGGGAGGGACAAAATGACACTGATATTCATGCAGCAAACTGGGCCTCACCTTTACTATGTAATGACTCCAATCACCTGAGACCCCAAGAGTGACCCTAGTAAATCGACTCTGGGACCCTCTGCATGGATCCTCTCTTTTTCACCTATCTTCTGCTCTTGTTTCTGCTTTTCATCATCCCCAAATATTGAACTAATTACCTCTTTACTACCAATTGAATGAGAGCATCCCATGCCTTCAGCTTGGGAGAAATGCACGCTTATCTCAGTGAGGTGTGAGTAAGTGCATGTGCATTGATGGTACTGAGTGATCCTGACATCATGGAGAATACCATCCCAACTCCTCCTGCAACAAAATACCTTCAAATGAAGGAAAGAAAGGGCTGGAATCTGGCATAGAACCAGAATCTGACCACTTCTCACCACCTCTACCTCTACCACCGGGGTTTCAAGCCACTATCACCTTTTGCCTGGTCTATGGGAAAACCCTGACTGGTCTCCCTGCTTCAGCCCTTGCTCCCCACACTCTATTCAGAAAACAAGAGATGAACACTGGGTGTTATTCTGTATGTTGGTAAATTGAACACCAATAAAATTAATTTATTAAAAAAAAAGAAAACAGAATGATGATTTTAAAAATCAAGCCAAGTTATATCATTCCTCTGTCCAATGTCTTCTCATCTCTTTGAGAAACATAAAAGCCCATCCACTCTCCTCTCTGCCTCCATTCCTTAACTCTCTTCCCCAAGCCTCTCCTCACCAAGTGGCCTTCCTGAGGTCCCCAAGCCATCCAGGCAGGGTCCTACCTCACAGCCTTTCCGTTTGTTCCTTCTGCCTGGAACATTTTTCTGGAGGCATCCACATGGTACATTTCCTCACCTTTTCCGTGGTGCCTTCTGAGACGGCAGCCATCTCTCCTACCTAGAACTTAGTTCACTGTTTTCCATAGCTCTAATTTCTGTCTAATATATTACAGAATCTACTTATTTGTTGTTCTTTCTGATCTATTGTGTGTCTCCCCGCTAGAATGTCAGCCCTGTGAGGGCAGGGATTTCTGCCTTGCTCACTGCTGTATCCCCAGGCCCAGAACAGTGTCCACACATAGTAGTGCTCACTAATTACCTGTGGGATGAATGAACAAGGAAAGGTGACATAAATTAGGAGGAGAAGTTTTCAGTACACAAAACCTGGTTTATTGACTTGTACAAGGTCCTGGTTAAGTGAAGAGGACATGGAATCTCTCTAGTACATCCATATAGATACTAACACCCTAAATCCAGGGCTCTTCCTTTTGTGTTAGGTCTGGTCTCTCTCTACCTACTACATGGCATTGGTGGCGGCCCAGGTTCCCCAGAGCAAGCTTACTTGTTTCAGTCTGAAAGCTTCCACCAGGGCAGTTGCGTGGTCAGGAAGGAGTGGGAAGGAGAGGCGTGGCCCCGTGTAATTGTCTGGTACCTCTATAGATTCATAGTCACTGCCTTTCTCCATCTCAGAGTCCTGGAGGAATCTCTCTGTGGTGAATTTGCAGTTCAGGAAGTCTCCTGGTCAGGATGGAAAGGTTCGGACAGCTTATCATCAGATGTGCAGTCAGTTGGCAATACAAAACTGTCTTTCCCTGGATCATACTTGAAGTGGGGTGGGCCAGTCTGGCATCAGCTCCAACACCAGGGAAGAGAAAGGGAAGGGAAAGTGACAACAGATTAAGGTGGGCACAGGGTGCCTGGGTAGCACCCTGCCTTTGGCTCAGGTCATGATCCAGGGTCCTGGGATGGAGCCCTGTGTTGGGCTCCCTGCTCAGTGGGGAGCCTGCTTCTTCCTCTGCCTCTGCTTTTCACCCTTGCTCACTCTCTCTCTCTCTCTCTCTCTCATTCTGCTCTCTCTCAAATAAATAAATAAGGTCTTAAAAAAAGGTTAAGGTGGGCAGGAGGAAAAGGTTAAGCTTTAATGTCAATTTCATTTTACTTTTATTTTAAAATATTGAGATTTGTTAGACCTAGAAAGAATAGAAATTGAGGAGCCGAGGCTTATTAGCAGAAGGAAAAGGAAAAGCCTTGACAGGAAAAAAAAAAAAAAAAGCTCACAGGTATTTGTGGTATACTCAGTGAGTGTGGCAGAAGCCATTAGACCTTTCAGGGCCCTTCAAGCAAGGGCCAACCACCAGCTTCTGCATCACTGGCCTGGGAACTTCTTTCCTAGGCTCACAGGGGTCCTCAGCAGGCCTGAAATGTTGTGGAATCAACAGCCTTCAACCAATGAGCTTCAGGACATGACATATGAAGACTCTAGTTCTCTCTGCCTTCAGGTGGGATCATTCCAAGGCATGGGATGTTGCACATTTCCCAGGCACACCAACCTGCTGGCTTAGTAGCACATCCCCACCCCCTTTATTGGCTGCCTTCCTTTCCCTGAATTCCTTCCCCACCCCGTCCCCACCCCCATTATGTCTGTATGGCAGCTCATACTCACTCTCATGGTTGCTGTTGGGGGTAAAGTGATCCACAAGGTAGCTGAAGAAATCATGGAGCTGCAGGAGAACCAAAGACTCCGCTTCAGAGATGAGTGCAAACAGAACCGGGAGGGTCCAAATCAGCCGCACCCTCTGGGCAACTGAGCCTTGCTGCCCGCGGGCTAGAAGGCAGAGCACAAGGTGACTCTGTCCCACATCCCACCGCACCTTGTCCTGGTCCTGCTGCCCAGCATACTCGATAGACTGGAAGATGCGCCAGGTGCAGTGCCGCCTCATCTCCAGGCGTGCCATGTAGCGCCGGTACCATCTCTGGATCAGGGCTGCTGCCTTGAAGGCTGTGAAATGGGTGGAGATGCAAGCCAGTAAGCTGGGACCCCCTGGGCTGGGAGGGGGTGAAGGGCACCTCTCCTATGGTAACGCAGGAACAAGACAGTGGAGAGAAGTACTACCCATTGCTGCTGGTGGGAAGGATTTGCCTTACCACTGGCTGGGGTGCTGGTTTCCCCATTCCCATCTCCCACCCCACCTTCATTCTTACCTAGTACTTATACTAACATCACTGGAGGTTTACTAGAATTCCTACTTTTTGCTGAAAATACTGCATGTGCAGGTGGAAAGGCTGGATTGCCAGGATTCTTAAGAAACGTAACCTGAAGAGGTTGCAAGCATGAGGCATCCCTGCAGAGTGGATAACGCAGGGGTAGAAAGTGGGGAAGACATTTTGACATAACAATAGACTGGATAGCAGGAGTCCTGGGTTCTAGGCCTGGAAATGCCCTCATCAGCTCTGTGGCCTCACGTGGATTTTACCTTCCTGGGCCTCAGTGTTCCCATCCCAAAAGGGGGATGGACTAGATGACTGGGGAAAACAAACAATAGACAAACACGCAAATTCTGCATGAAATGTCAGGTGGTAGTAAATGCCTATGGGGCTCTGCACTTGCTTTCTCCATACTTGTCACAGCCCTGTGGGCTTTAAGTGTCCCCATCATGATACCTGGGTGACCACACTGACTATCAAATCTGCAGGCAGGCTTTGGGCTTCTCCTTTTGCCAGGACCTGTGCTGGGTGACCGCATCCACAGGGTGGCACGATGAGGTTTAATTCTTTCTATGAGCTTTAGGACCTGTGGTCATGTACTGCTGCTATAGAAGAGAACAGCTGTTCACATAAATAACTAGATTCTTCTTAAGCTTCTGGGCCTGAATGTACCACTGGTGATGAACGGAGTATTTGTGGATAAAGCGAGATTAAAAAGAAAACCCTACAGGTTAATTCAGGTCAACCTCATGAAGAGTAGACAGACTGATTTAATATAGTTAGCCTGCATTAGAGAGCTAACAGAATTCTGCTGATTTCTCTAAGAAGAATGTCAATGGGAGAGTGGGGGGAGGAGAACCAGGGAGGATCTTAAACAAAGCTGAATGTGATTTCCTCCGACAAAGAATGTCACACGGTAGCTATTACTCAAAGGCACTTACCCAACACTAAGGGTTGAAGCTGAAGCTCTACCAACTGACTTCTGTAAATCCATGTTCAGAATGGTGAACAGACTTTCTAGAAACTTATGGGAAGCACAGATACCTGGACCTTGCCTTAGAAACCACAGCTTTAGACTCTCTACAAGGAGTCCAGGGACCTTCAAGGCTGACAAACTCCACACACGACTCATGTGCACCCAAGTGGAAGCAATACTGAGGAGTACTGGGGCCACCAAGGTTCTGTGAAACATGTTATTTGCTAACACCTTTCTTCCACATTTAAAGGAAAGGGCTGCCAACTAGGCATATTTATATCCTCAGTCTTGCTTGACTGGCTTTGGGCAAGGACAGCAGGCAGTGCCTCCTCACCTGTTTCTCCCACCTAGTCCTGTCAGGTGTCTGAGTTACCCTTAACTGAGATAAAGGCTGTGAGGTGCAGGATGGTCTAAGACCTTCTACTCCTGCCTTCCCAACAGCGCAATATAACACACTTGGGCTCCTCTTGCTCCAGCTTTCCCACCCCTCCCCCCTTTTTAAGGAGGCTCCACACTCAATGTGGGGCTCAAACTCATGACCCTGAGATCAAAAGTCACATGCTCCACCGACTGAGCCAGCCAGGCACCTCTAGAACATGCAACTCTTGATTTCAGGGTTGTGAGTTTGAGTTCCATGTTGGGTGTCGAGATTACTTAAAAAAGAAAATCTTTCAGAGCATCTGGGTGGTTCAGTTGGTTAAGCATCTGCCTTTGGCTCAGGTCATGATCTCAGGGTCCTGGGATCAAGTCCCCGCATCAGGCCCCCTGCTCACCAGGGATCTGCTTCTCCCTTTCCTCCTGCCCCTCCCCCTTGCTCATGTACATGCTCTCAAATAAATAAAATCTTAAAAAAAAGAACAAGAGCCTCCAGCCCCCAGCTACCCAGAGGATTATAGACAAACCACCCAGCTGGTTCCTTTGCAAATTCCAGACCCACAAAATCACAAGCAGATAAAATGGTTGCCTTAAGCCACTAAGTTTTGGGTTATGCAGCAATACATCATCGGAAGAGGAATTATAAAAATGCTTTACAAAGTCATAAAATAAACTCAAAGCAAAATGAATAATCGATCTCCAAAGATGAAAAGCAAAAGTTTAGGGGCGCCTGGGTGGTTCAGTCAGTTAAGCATCCAGCTCTTGATTTTGGCTCAGCTAATAGTCTCAGAGTGGTGAGAAAGAGCCCTGGGTTTGGCTCAACGCTAAGCATTAAGCCTGCTTAAGGTCCTCTCTCTCCCTCTCCCTTTTCCCCTCCCCTACAATTCACACATGCTCTCTCTCTCTCTCTCTCTCTCAAAAAAAAAAAGCACAAAAGTTAAATAAGTGAATCTAACCTTATTTAAGTTCGAAATACAGAATGGAGTTATTTCAAATGCCTTGAGAATTCAGTAGTTTGTACATCCCTAGTGGATATATCCAAAGGGCAAAAAGACGGGGTACTTGAGTGGCTAGCGGTTGAGTGTTTACCTTTGGCTCGGGTTATGATCCCAGGGTCCTGGGATTGAGTTCCGCATCAGGCTCCCCACAGGAAGCCTGCTTCTCCCTCTGCCTATGTCTTTTGTGAATAAATGAGTAAAATCTTAAAAACAAACAAACAAACAAACAAAGGACAAAAAGAACTACAAAGAAATCTTAAAGAATTTTCAGTCATCACATTGCTTATAATAGTATTGTTACTATTCTGAAACTGTTATTTATGGTGGAACAGAGTAAATAATACTATTTTAATGTCACTAGGGAAAAAAGATTTTTAATAAAGAGATATATATAAGTATAATATCAAGGCTGTTAAGTAAAAATATTGTGTTCCTAAATATAAATTGGTTATGGTGGGTTTTTCTCTAAGTAATACTTATTTTCCAGATCTGCTCACTGGAAAGGTATAGAATGATATAGGCCAACCAGGAAGCAATGAATACCCCGCACCCTAAAGAGAGGGTACCCTAAAGAAGTACCCTCTCTGGAGCCAAAAATGTGCAAGATGACCCTGGGACATATTGCCAAGCTAGAAAACAAGGAAGCCACAAACTTCCAGTGATGCTGAAGCCCATATAAACAAGGTGTTGTCACTATTCCCCCTGCTTTCCTCCTATAACTTTGGCTGCCTCTCCTGAGCCTCCTTTGCTGACTCATCCTCTTCTACCTGGTGCTTAAGCCCCGGGGTCCTTCATGGCTCTGTCCTAGGCCCTAGACTCTGATCTGCCTTTACTTTCCCTCTAGGGCACTTCAGGGACCCCCATGGCCTCAACCACTACATAACATTCTGATGCCTTTCAGTGCATATCTCTCCAGCCCAACCTCACCTCCAGAATCCAGATGTGAATATGTAACTGCCTTCTCAGTATTTCTACCTGTGTGTCTCACGGACACCCCAACCCTAACTTGTATAAACCCTTCATCTTCCCTCTAGTCAAAGTTGATTCTCCTCCACTATGTTTATGTCAGTAATTGGTATAATTGCCTACCCAGTTTTGCTAGCCAGAAAACTGGAAATCATTCTTGATCCTTCTCCCTCACCCCATACATCTACTCAGTTGGATCCTGTCAATTCGACCTCCTGAATACTGTTGGAATTCACCCTCTTCTCTCCATCTTTGCTGCCAACAACTCTGACCAAAGTATCATCATCTCTTGCTTAGATGACTTTAGTGGCTTCTGGGCTGTTCCTTCTTCTACTCTTACTCCCTCCAATCCCTTCTCGACAGAACTCTGAGATCTTTTTAATGTGCATATCTTACTATTAACTCCCTATTTTGAATTCTTCAATTGTTCTTCATGTCTTTAGGATAAAGTTTAAAATCCTATAGACCCTGAGTGATCTGGGCTCTGCCTACCTTGGCAGCCATATGTCATGCCATCCTCCCTCTTGTTCACTTCAGACCAAGTTCCTTGAATATGACTCTCTTCTCTCTCTCTCTCTCTCTCTCTCTCTCTATATATATATATATATATATATATATATATATATATATATATACTAAACCCTCTACCTGAAAAGCTCTTTCATCTGCTTTTTTGCCAATTTTATTTCATTTATTTGTGCATGAACAATTTGGGATAACCCATAGTGGACAACATAGACTCCTCAGTACACTTTAACTTGGTCAAATATAGTTCACCAACTTCTAAGATATTCAGCTGACATTCTGGTGGTCTCATCATAAGGAGGAGAAGCTGAGTTTCAAGAACTGTCTGAGGAGAAATATAATGGTTTCTTTCTATTCTGAGAAGCCCCTCCCTATAAAATGTAGGCTTTGGGATACCTACGGATAATCTGGGAGTTGGGAAACACATACCTTTCTCTGCATTCTGGAAAGCAAAGTGATGTTGGGCTGAGGTACCACTTCCCATAGTGTACGTACAAGATTTCTGCAGGACACAGATAGCAGGCAGAGGGAGAGCAAATTGTTTGCTGATAAAAGGAAGAGGGAATCTGAAATAAGATAATCCAGGCAGAGTATTATTAGTTCAGGTAGACTAAGTTATCTATGGACCTTGTCACCCACATCATAAAAACTGTGAGACTATCATCTGAGAGCACTTTCCCTACCTCTTCAGTGTCAGTGCATGGAAATTCCCTTCATTTGTCATCTCCTACTTTCCCATGTTTCCAGCCTTTCTACTAGCTTTTCCTTTTGAGTCTAGAAACGTCCTGAAATCTCTTCTCTTACAATCTCAAAGCTATTGATCACAATCATCATTCTTTGACTCCCATATCCCTCTAGTTATAAGCCAGTCTCTTTTCTTCTCATATTTCTGAGTAGACTACATATTTTCTCCTTAATTCCTCTTAAAACCACTTTTATGGTTTTAAGATGCCTTCATCTTTTCAGTCCTTACCTTGCCCAAACAGCAAAACCATCTGTCTCTGCAAGCCCCACCTTGATAAAAATTCTACTCCTTGGGTTTCCATGATGCTGGACTCCCTTGCATTTGTTCTACCTCTCTATCTCTCTTCTTGAGCTCACTTTTTTCTGTCCTTTAAATGTCCATTTTGGTTTGTACTCTAGACTCAAATGTCAGGTCTCCTCACTCTGAACATGGTCCCCAGATGACTGAATCAATTCATACTCAACTATCGCTTCCCACTTCTCAAATCTATATCTTCATCCCAGATTATCCATATATGTCAGCCCCATATACCCAGCTTTCTGTTAAACTTTCACTGGGGTGCCTTAGACTCCATGTACCACAAGCAGAACTCAGCTCTCTAAAATCTTACTCCTCCAGCCTCATCTCTCTTTTCTTTCTTCAAACTCTGCTCTTTGACCACAATGGCCTATGTGTTTTGTTCTGACATGGAATATTCTTATCCAATGCCTCTTGGCTAACTTAGCTAACTTTACTCATTCCTTAAAGCTCACTTTGGGCATCACCTTAGGGAAGCTAGTTTGACAGGTCTCTCCTGTGAGGTCCTGAATATCCTATTCACATCTCCATCACTGCAATAATGTATTATAGTTTCCTATTTTGTGTCTCTCTACCATTAGACTATCAGTTCCTTGACAGCAAAGACTGTGTGTGAGCAAATTCATCATATCTCTAGAAGGTACCATGGGCCTGACATGTGGCAGGGATTCAAGCAATATTAATTGAATAAACTTTTTATTTATTTTTACCATATTTATTTATTGCCACATTTATTTTTACACAACAAAGAACAATCTTTTTCTAGACCTTTTTCAGGAAGCAATGTGAGATGTACTGACTTAATGTTGAGAATGGATTCCACTTCCATATTTTTCTCCTCCTTCACATCTACTGCACTTTACTTCCTCCACTTTTAAAGGTTATTGTATTAGTGATTATCTTTTCCCTTGCAAATCAAAGAAAAGTCACAACTTGCTTATGTTGTTTAGCTTATTTTGACTAAATAATCAAAGGAAAAAATACTATGATCTCTTTTGTGTGTGTGCAAAATGATTTCCAGATGTAAGAGATATCATAAAACTAGAACCTGAGTATGGGTCAAAATGAGCAGCCATCATTACCAAATCAACCCAAATTTTTCTGGATACGTGAACAGTTTTAGAGCTGAAAGGGTCATCAGCAATGATTGAGTCCACCGATTTGGTGGACTTACAATTTGTTTTGATAATCAGTAACTTGCCTATAGAGACCACTGTGTACTAAAGTGTTTGGGTTTTGGAAGTACACAGATGCAGGTGAGAATTTCAGCTCAGCTTTTCACTAGATGTTGGTCACTTAACCTCCCATAAACTCAGTTTTATCAAATCTATAAATATTTGAGAATAATAAATAATGTATTTAAAGTGTTCTTAGTATCTGGTAGAATCTCAACATATGTTGACAGATTGGATCTGATATACTTATTTTAAAATATAGATAATCAAAAACATGTCCCTGGCTCAAATTTAGGAGGCAGTAAAAGACATACTATCTTAATACAGCATTGTTATATACTGAATGCGTCCCCCATAATTCACAAATTGAAGTCCCAACTCCCAATGTGTTGGTATTTGGAGGTGGGGATTTTGGGAGGTAATTAGGTTTAGGTAAGGTCATGAGGGTGGTGACCACATGATGGGATTAGTGTCCTTATAAGAAGAAGAGAGACTAGATCTCTCTCTCTCTCTCTCTCTCTCTCTCTCTCTCTCTCTCTCTCCCCCCTTTCTCTTCTTCTCCCTCCCCCCCGGCCACAATGTGAGCAAGGATGTGGGCATCTGCAAGCCAAGAAGGCACTCAATATACAAATCAAATCTGCTGGCATCTTGATCCTGAACTACTCAGTTTCCAGAACTGTGAGAAATAAATACATATTGGTTAAGACACCCACCTGTAGTATTTTGTTATGGCAGCCCTAGCTGACCAAGTCAAGCATAAACTATCCCATAAATGGGATAGATATTGATTATTTCTGGGTCAAAGACTGTAATAGTAAGTAAGTCCATTTTTGCCCTTTGGGACCTTATTTCTTATGAGTTTATAAATCTGAAAATGGTTGCAGAATAAGGCAACCTTGTTTGTCACCTACCCTACAAACAAGATGTAGAGATAGAAATATGATACTGCCATAAAATGAGAAAGCAGTAACTATCATGAGTCAATAAACTATTTGAAACAACCTGTAGTAATGAAAGAAATGAAGACTCTCCTCAGGGAGCACATCCAGTTGTAATGAACTCTGGTCATTAAGGACAAAAAGTATGTGCCTTCATATATTGTGGAAGGGGACAGGGAGCACCCAGACATCAGGATGGTGAATGGATAGTGATAACTCCATTACAGGGTTGTCACAAGGGTGAGATGAGGTTATATATGAAGGTACTTTGCAAGTGTTTGTCTCTGTCATGAAAACTATAGATGAGGAAACTTTTTAAATGATACTCTCAGAAATCTTTTAAAATATCTCTCTCCCTAGGGGCACCTGGGTGGTTTAGTCAGTTAAGCAGCCAGCTTTTGATTTCTGCACAGGTCATGATCTTAGGGATATGAGATCGAGCCCCACATGAAGGCTTGAGTGGGGCTCTGTGCTCAGCAGGGAGTCTGCTCAGGATTCCCTCTCTCTCCCTCTGCCACCACCCCTCGCTCATGCTCTCTCGATAAATAAAATCTTAAAAAAAAACCTCTCTCTCCAAAATCATAGCCACTTTAAATACTTTATCAGTACAGATATAGAAAACACATCATGGTATATCAAAAGTAGGATGGAACAGTATTCAGCCAGGACAAAGAACAAAGCAAGTCTAAATGTGATGGTATGAAAATATCCCTAAGATATATCATTACATGAAGAAAAACAAATTGCTGAACAATATGCTTCCTATGATCTCATCATCTCTATAAAAAACATATCAGTAAATGTATAATCAAATAACATACACCAAACTGTTAATAGTGATTTTTTTCTGGGGAATGGGCTTATGAGAAATTTTAATTTTTAACATATATAGCTTTATTATAACTTTGTTAATTAAAAATCAATAAATCATATTTCCCCAATATTTTTTGAGGTAAGGAAATTAGAAAGTGACTCTGATTAAATAGGTATCACATATGGCTTCCTTAATAGAAGAAAGTGATATCATCTACAGATCTGTAAAGAACATTCTAGAAATCACTACGAAAAAGGAATGGAAAGGAGAACTAAAATAATTCTTGGGGAAAAAGTAAAAGCTTTGTAAAACCAAACAGAAAATGAGTTGATGTAGCCTCAGATTGTTGAATCGACACCTTTTAGTAATGACTAACTGCTTTTCCTGCTGGTGATCCCCCCAGCTGAGCCATCTACTCAGGTAAATAGCACATCTATACTACCTGAGACCACTGTCCTTCTAGGATTTGATTTAGCATCACCAATATCTGATGTTATCATTTTAAAAAAGGGTTGGAGGGCAACTGTGTTGCTCAGTCAGCTAAGCGCTGGACTCTTGGTTTTGGCCCAGGTTATGATCTCATGGTCTTGGGAAAGAGCCCGGCATTGGCTCTGTGCTGAGTGCAGAGTCGGCTTTGGATTCTCTTTCCCTCCCCCTCTGCTTGTGCACTGTCTTCCTCTCTCTCAAATAAATAAATAAAATCTTTCAAAAAAAATGTTGGCAATTATTTATCTTCCCACTGAGTGAACCTCAAAACACACATAGCAAAGACCCTCCCTGGGTGAGTTGATAACAGGGGCTTTCTCTGACCTCTGTCCTCAAACCAAACCTGGATTTATTTCCTGTGTAAGAACATATGTTTGTTGCCCTCATTTCTGTACTTTAGGCTAGAAAGAAAGTTCTTACCTTCTTTGGTAATCTTTGGTATTCTTTACTATGAAACGCAAGGAGGCAGGAGCCTCTTTAACACACAGGTGTGACCTCCATCCTGTCTTTGGAGTTGGCTGAGGGATCCTTGGCTGATGCAGTTTCTTCCAGACCTACAGATCTGGTAAAGAAGGCCCAGGCTCAAGCTGGCATACCGTCTTCCAGAAACGCAGTAAGGACATCCACAGCTGTGGCCAAGCACTCAGGGCTCCCTGCCTCACAGCAATAGGCACCTCATCAACTCAATCAGATCAAGCCTTGCGAGGAGGATTTGAAAGGGGAGATTGCATAGTCAGGATGTCTCCCTCACACCCGGGCCTGATTCCCGAAGACAGTTTCTCCCCAGCACTCTCCTGCCCTAGCCCCAGAACTAAGCCTCTTACCCACCCCAGATTAGGAGGCTGTGTTTCTCAAGACACGTCTATGCAGCCTGAGCTCCTTAAGCCAGAAATAGAAGAGTGCTGACAACACAGGGCATGGGGCTCAGAGCTGCCGGGCACCGGGGGCCCTCCCTGCAGTTCCCCAGGACCCCAGGCACTCTTTCTTCTGGCTGGCTTTTCTCTGTTCACAAAAGTGATGGAACATTTT